TAGGAATTAGAATCAACAGGTTTCAAGAGGTAATAGTCGAATTTGCACACACTGTGGTAGGATGAATCATACGGTTGATACTTGTTTTTAGAAGCATGGATTCCCACCAGGTTATAGAGGTAAACCTAAGGCTCAAGGCAATGCCAATGCTTCATCTTCAAATACTACAGTTAATAATGCTTCAGAGGTTCCTCCTAGGGATGTCAACTTCACTTCTTTTGGTTTTACTCAAGAATGGTACAACAGTATTCTAGCATTGATTCAACAATCCAAACCTACAGCTGGTGTAAATTCTGTTGCTACCTCACCTTTTGTCTTGAATTCTCATTCATCTAATGTGAATGGTAAGTGTCCTAATCTTTGGATATTAGATACTGGTGCGACAGATCATTTTGCTTTTAATCTTGCATCTTTTAGTAACTATAATCACATAGTGCCCATATATGTTAGTTTGCCCAATGGTGCACAAGTTACTGCATCCATTTCTGGCAGCATTATCTTGTCTCCTTCCTTAGTTCTCAATAATGTGCTTTATGTTCCTTCCTTTCATGTCAACCTCATTTCTGTTGCAAAACTGGTTGGTACCAATAATTGTTTTATACAATTTGATGCTAATTCCTGTCACATCCTGCAGAATCATACCAAGGAACCGATTGGTATAGCTAGCTTACACAGAGGACTCTATATTCTTGATTCTACAGCTCCTCACTATGCTAATAATTCTGCTACACACAACAATTGTAATTTTTGGCATTTAAGACTAGGTCATATTTCACATATAGGCTTACAAACTATTTCTAAGTCTTGTCCTTTTATTACATGTAATGCTAAAAATGTACCTTGTGACTCTTGTCAATTTGCTAAACAAAAGAAATTGCCTTTTCCCAATAGTATATCTCATTCCTCTACTCCCTTTGTTATTTTACATGCTGACTTGTGGGGACCATTTTCTACTATTTCTACTTTAGGCCACAAGTATTTTTTGACTCTTGTTGATGATTACACAAGACATACTTGGGTGATATTTCTTAAAACCAAAGATCAAACTAAACTCAGTTTCATACAGTTTGTTGCTTATATAGAAAATCAGTTTCATACAACCCTTAAGTGTCTAAGATCTGACAATGGGACATAATTCCTTGCTTTGTCTGCTTTTTTGTTATCCAAGGGCATTATACACCAAAGAACACGTACTGAGACACCCCAACAGAATGGGGTGGTAGAGAGAAAGCATCAGCACATTCTCAATGTGGCTAGATCTCTCTTCTTTCATTCTAATGTTCCTTTAAGCATGTGGAATTTCTGCATCCAACATGCTGTCCATATCATAAACAGACTACCTTTACCTTTACTCAAATCTAAATTCCTCAATAACCATTCAGGCCAAGGACTATTTTTTAGCTCATCATCCAACCTTTGTCTCAAAGGTTTTTCAGATTCTAATTGAGGTACATGTCCTGATACTCGAAGATCCACATTAGGCATCTGCTTCTTCTTAGGCAAATCTCTGGTTAGCTGGAAGAGTAAGAAGAAAAATGTCGTATCTCGACTTTCTTATGAGGATGATTTCCAACTTAAACACGATTTACCCATCATCATATACTGTGACAATGCTTCAGCTTTACACATTGCTGCTAATCCAGTATTCCATGAACAAACAAAATATATTGAGTTATGGTGAATATATTGAAGAAACATTTATTATCAGGATTAGGATTGATAGCTGAAGGTACTTATTTTCATGTTAGATGTGGAACACACATCTTAAACTTAATTGTTCATGATGGTTTAAAGGTGATAGATGGATCTTTGGACAAAATTAGGTTGTGTGTGAAATATGTAAGAGGCTCAGAAGCTCGAAAGATAAAGTTTGCATCTTGTTTAAAGCAACTTTCAAATGTGACTTCTAAGCAAGTTCGTCAAGACTTACCTACTAGGTGGAATTCCACTTATCTGATGCTTGAGACTGCTATAGGTCAACGAGAAGCCTTTACCCTCCTAAGCGATCTTGATCCCTGTTTTGATTGTTGCTTATCAAACGAGGAGTGGGATAAGGTAAAAACCATAGCTGATTTTTTGAAGCCATTTTATGATATCACTGTGCTTTTTTCAGGTAGCACTTATCCAACCGCCAACCTCTATTTTAGTGGTGTGTGGCGAATTCATATGAAAATCAAGGAAGTTGCATGTGTTGATCATAGTGAGTTTGAGAAACAAAATCAATTATGTTGCATGGCTAGAAGAATGAAGAAAAAATTTAATAAATATTGGAATTCTTATAGTTTTGTGCTATCATTTGCTGTCATCTTAGATCCTAGATATAAGTTGCAGTTTGTTGAGTGGTGCTATGTGAGGTTGTTAGGTGGTGAGGGAGTACAAGTTGCAAAGGAGATTTTTGATAAGTTGAAAGCTTTTTTTCAAGAATATCTCAAGTCCTCAAATGAAGCAAGCACTTCATCTTCACAAAGGTCAATTAGAGGTAGTCCAAACATTCCTTCAAATGACTTGCAGGATTTTGGGAGTTATGTAAGTAAATTGTGTGGACCATCAAAAGATGAGTCTGATTTGGAAATTTATTTGAATGAAAAAAAATTGATCATGAGCAATATGCTGATTTGGATGTTTTGCAATATTGGAAAGCAAATGAGGGTAAATATCCTAAACTTTCTATATTGGCACGTGACCTTTTGAGCATTCCAATTACTACAGTTACATCAGAATCAGCATTTAGTATAAGTGGACGTATACTTGATAAGTATCGAAGCGCTCTTTTACCCGAAAATGTTGAAGCATTATTGTGTACACATGATTGGCTTTGTGGAACTCCAGGTTAGTATCTACAATATTTTCATTTGTATTCTTTTCATTTATCTTCTTTTTTAATTAATGCATGTTTAATTGTTTCCTACTTTGATTCTCTTTTGTAGCTGCATTTGATTTTGATGGACCCGATTTTGTTGAGGACCTTTCAACCTTCTTCACCCAAGGTACTATTACATCATTCATACACAATGTTCATGTTAAGAACTATACACAAAATACACAATCTTCATGTTAAGAATTATGTTTCTTCTAACTGTGCTTTTGATGAAAATTATAGCTTTTGATTTTGATGATGGCAGGATCATGATGAATGATGAATGATGATGGCATGATCATGATGAATGATGTGAATGTGAAAAATGTTTTGAAGTGCAATTCGAGTATGAGCAAGTTATGTGATGTAGTTCTATGATGATGATGTTGCAATATCGAAATTAGTTAGAATGCAATTCATTTTAAACTTGAAATTTTATTGTGATGCAATCAGTTACACTTGAATTAGTTTGCAGTTAAAACGACACTGTTTTGAAATTGTGTGAATGAAATTCCTTTGAAGTTATGTTAGTGACTTATTATCTTACATTTTAAATAGCTTCTCATGACGTGGAATATTTAATTTTTTTTACAATTAAAAATAACTAAAAAAATAGTTAAGAACATTTAATTTTTTGTTGTGAAATTTAAAATTTGTAAAGAAATTAATTTCTTGGCTGAGAAGTTAATTTTTTTGTGAAGTTTAAATTTTTTAAAGAAATTTAAAAAATAATTGAGAATATTAATTGTTTTTATGAAATTTAATTTTTTTTTATGAAATTTAAAAAATAATTCATTATAATTTTATTGTAAAATTTAAATTTTTTTATGAAATTTAAAAAATAATTAAGAATATTATTTTTTGTTGTTGTAAAATTTAAGTTTTTTTAAGAAGTTTAAAAAATAATTTAAAATATTTAAATTATGTTTTTATGAAATATAAAAAATAATTAAGAATTTTTAAATTATTTTTTTGGATGGATGGATATCCATCCATTAGAATTATGTGAATGGATGGATTGAATGGATTTTATCTTTTAATGGATGGATTGGATTTGATTTTTATTAAGTGAGTTAGTGGATTGTTAATGGATTAATGGATTATTTTGATCCATCCATTAACAATCCAATTCATATCCATCCAATCCATCCATTTTGCCACCCCTAGTTTATAAGGTTTAAGGTTTACTGACAAATAATTATCTAATAATTTTATTAATAAAGGTTTTCATAAAATATCCTGTTGTGTCAATTTAACGCCACTTAAAAGAGATAAACTAATATATTATTAATAGTTTATTCACAGTATAAATGCTAACTAGGTATTAATATTTTGTCTTAAAGAAAGGTTAGAAAGGTTTATAATGTAGTTAATGTATGAAAAACATATATAGTTAATTTAAGCTTTTCATAGATACCTTGTAATATTAATTAAAATTTATTTTAAAAAGAATAATAAATATATTTATTAATTTAGAAATGTGGTTATATTTAAGCATAACATTTTGTCTGAAGTGTGTATTTATATTTAAGAACAGAGAGAATGATTTTAATCTTCTTTAAAAATAAGCATACACTTTAATATATAATATATCATATTTTAAATGAATTTGTTTTAGGATTTAAAATATAGTTAATATATTAATTTTTATATATTATTATACATAACTTTAATATAACTCTTTTTTATATTATTTTTTATTTCTTTTACAAAATAAACACGTATTGAACACATATTAGATTAATCCGTTATGCATGCACTACATTTTCTTCTTCAAATTCCGCGTTTTCAGCAAATTCATTACGACCATTCATTTTACAATTTCAAGTTTGAAAACGTCCCATCAAAATCACATGTAATTCTCTATCTCTCGATCAGTTGTCCCTAACCAAAATCTCTCTACAAACATGCATGTTCAATTCAACAAACATAATACGTTAATAATATTCCACGTGCTACAATAACACACGTGCGGTCCAAGATATTTCGATAAAAAGAGTTACAGAGGATCACACCTCTCACCTCTAAAATTCATATAAAGAAGACTTTTTCTAAAAACATACGTGAAAAGGTGAAAAACAGTTTCCAATTTGGGGTCCACCCCGAGGTACGAGGTACCGTACGAGGTTACCCTACCTCCATCATGAGTTATAGCGGCGAAACATTGGACTTTCGAAACCTTAAGGTAATATCCGCTGTCGGACGTGGTGCCAAAGGCGTTGTGTTTCTTGCAAGACTCTACGGATCATCGAAAGAGGAATGGCTGGCTTTGAAAGTGATATCGAAAGAGTTTCAAAAGAAGAAGAATAATAATAGAACCGATAAATACAAAAGAGTTTCGTTTGAACAACAAATCCTACGTCGTTTTGATCATCCCCTTTTGCCGCGATTAAAAGGAGTTCTTGAAACAGAGAAACTCATTGGTTTTGCAATGGATTATTGTCATGGTGGGAATTTGCATTATGTTAAGAAGAAACAACCGGAGAAAAAGTTCTCTGAAGAAACCATTAGGTATTACTATTTCATCCTCTCTTGGCGCATTTGCATGTTATTTCTGTATAATAATAATTATTGTACTTTTTTTGCTAAGGTTTTATGCTGTGGAATTGGTGTTAGCATTGGAATATTTACACAATTTAGGGGTAGTTTATAGAGATTTGAAGCTGGAAAACATTATGATTCAACAAACGGGTCACATAATGCTGGTAGATTTCGACCTATCAAAGAAACTGAATCCGAAATCACCAAACTCACTAAGTTGCAACTCGTCACCCGGTTCAAACTCGCCAGGTGTGAAAAATAGAACGATGAAATGGTTGTCACACTTTAATTGTCATTGTCCTTCTATGAAAGCGGAATTGGACTCAGTGAGTCAGATTGATCCTAACTCGACGTGTAAAAGGAGCGAGTCAGACTCGGTTGAGAAATCCAACTCGTTCGTGGGAACTGAGGATTACGTGGCACCTGAAGTTATTGAGGGACACGGGCACAACTTTGCTGTTGATTGGTGGTCATTTGGCATAGTTTTGTATGAAATGCTTTATGGAATGACGCCATTTAATAGTCCTAATAGAAAGGAAACGTTTTATAAAATTTTAACTATGGAGCCTGAACTAAAGGGTGAAATGACGCCATTGAAGGATTTGATTGTGAAGTTGCTTGAGAAAGATCCTGACCTTAGGATTCAGATTAATGGAATAAAGGGTCACGATTTCTTTAAAAGTGTAAAGTGGAACATTGTGTTGGAAATTACTCGTCCACCTTATATTCCTCCTAATGAAATTGTCGACAAAGCTGGATTTTCAAGGAAAGAGGTTGAGTCATTTGTTCATGGAATATTTTTTCCTAAAACTAAAAATAATAATACTAATGGTGAAAAGGAGAAAAATAATGAAGAGATTAAAAAGGATGGAAAGGAGAAGGGTGAGAATGAAGATATCAATGATTGTGGTAATAAGAACGTTTGGGTTGAGAAGTTGAGTCAGAACCAGACAAGAGATGATAAATTTTTGATCTTTTAATTTGATGGATTTGTTTGTATTTTTTAAAATTCTTTTGTTTTTTCTTATTGTAGTTTATAAATTTTACTTTTAATTTTTAGATTAGTTAAAATGTGTTGGTCTTTTTAATTTTTATTAATTATATTATTTATAAAAGTAATATACATTGTCGTTGAAATTGTCAAAGTAAAATTAGCCAAATAATAATGAAAAGACAAACACATGCACATGATACAGAGGCTAATTTTTAAATTTTTAATAATGTAGATATGTAGAAGCTAATTAATTTGTAGGCAACGGCAATAAGACCACATGCCCAAGCAACAGAGCAACAACCATGCATAGTAGATCAATTTATGGATATTGAATTAACATAATCATACGAGTCATACGTGAAAATCAAACGTGTAAATAAACTAAAATTTTTTATTCTTGGAAACACTGTATATGATTAATATGTTATGTGTTAGATGTCAAATTTTGCTTATTTGTTCAATTAAATGTTGATATCTTTTGTTCTTTTTATAGATGAATTGAATTGAATCACTCTTATTTTTGATGATATGCTTCATTGTGTGAAAATGTCTTGGTTGCTTTGATTTGTGTGCTGTTGTGTATGAATTAGGCACAAAATAAAAAGAGTAAGACAGAAGGACTTTGACAAGAAAACCAAGTCAGCAGCAAAACATCAACAAGTTCGCACAACGAACTTCCTAGCGAAGTTGCCCAGAAAAAACATCATCAAGTTTGCACAGCGAACTTGCCAGCGAAGGCCATTGGGAACCTGACACTGTTCATATAGAGAGAAAAGACATCTAAATTCGTTGTGCGAAGGAGGTAGCGAAGGGTTCGCTGGAGCGAAGAAGAAGCGAAGACCTAGCGAATACCCCAGACCTGAGGCAGTAAGTATTTGGACAAGAATTCACTGTGCGAAGTTTATAGCGAAGCCTTCGCAGTGCGAAGGATTGCTCGCACAACGAATATTTGGAAATATCTCAGGGGCGGTTTAACTGTACACTAGCACTTCAAGTGCCACTTTTGGTTGTTCGCTAGGCGAACAAGAGCTTCACAATGCGAAGTTGACAGCACAACAGCATGTCTATAAGTACTTGGTGCCACTTTTTGCCAAAATATCTTCTATTTTGTACTTTTCATATTTTTGTATTTTTCAGCACATAAACCCCAGGTTCTCCATTTTCATCATCTCTTAGCCATTTTTCACAAAAAGAAAGTGGATTCCCATCCAATCTCGATTATTCGATTCGAGTGTTGATCACCCTTCTTCCGAAACTTGTTGCTCAAACTATTATGGAAATAGGTGGCTAAAACCTCTCTTGTGTCAAGATTAGAGGTAGTTAGTTCTGATTTTATGTATTCTTCTTAGGTTTTGATCAATATAGATGAAGTTATTTGCTATCTTTTGTTACATTTATGGTTTGGATTGCTTTAGACATGAACTTTTCAAGTCTTGACCTAATTTCTTCATCTATCAACTATACAAACTCTAGACATAGATTTGGAAGTTGATATTTGCATTGTATTGATCTTAATGATTATTGTTTCGGGTGTTATTTAGAGAGATCATTTGACAGTCGAAACAATAACATTCACGAAATCGCTTTAGAGATGAACGTTTTTGCGAGGAGACGCGATTATATTGGTTAAAGCTAACTTCACATATTCGATTAATTGGATACGTTTAAAAAGGATTGGTGAACCCTAATCTTGGCATGCTTTTTATCAAACTAAAATCAATTTTACCTTGCTTTAACTCATGTTACAAAATAGAAACCAAATTAAAAACCCCCTTTCTTAAATCACTAAAATATTGAACGACGAGCATCAAATATTCTCATTAATCACTGTGGATACGATAAAACACTCACGGAAATTCTTTCTAAAAAATTGGCGTCGTTGTCGGGGATTGTTAGTAGAACTTTGCAAGCATTGCAATAGTTTAGTGATTTTAAGATTTGTGTATTGTGAATCTCTTATCTCTGTAATTCTTTGTGCTTTTTGATCTATTTAGCTTGTGTGCGGAATTCGTTTATGCGAGGACAAGCCCGGCCTGAAGACCTTCTTTTCGATCCTGAGATTGAAAGAACTGCTCACCGACTCAACAATCAAACAAGACGAAGACGACAACAAGCTAGGGAAAGACAAGAGCACGGGGAATCTTCTTCATCCACTCCACCTGATTCACCAATCATGGCAGCTTCACCACCACCACCACTTCTAGGTTCAGTTCCATTTACCAATAGTCCAAGGCACAATGCTCAGTTTGCGCGTAACCTCTAAAATGGAAGGCAAGTTGAGATGAAAACGGGAATCCTTGCACTCATTTATCAAACTCCTTTCACGAGATTAGATCATAAGGATCCGTTTACATATCTTACCAAATTCTATGAGATTGCGGGTGCAACTGGAGCACCAGAAGCTGATGAAGAATCACTGTTTAGGAGACTATTTCCTTATTCTTTGATCGGGAAAGCGAAGGAATGGTATCTTGATCAGTCTATAACAGTAATGACGGACTAGAATTTATTAGAAGAAAAGTTTCTTGAACGGTTTTTTCCACACAACCGGTTCATGGAAGTAAAGACGAAAATTGTTGTATTTTCACAAGGAAATGAATCCCTCAACGAAGCTTGTGAGAGATTCAAGTCAATGTTGATAAAATGTAAAGGACACGATTTTGATGAACTTACACAAGTTCACATTTTCTGCAATGGTCTCCTCTCGGTTCACAAGACCTTGTTGGATGCTACGACGGTGGGTTCTTTGATGTCTAAAAGTGCCGAAGAAGCAATTGCATTTATTGACAAGATGGCGCTTAATGATCACCAAGGAAATCATAGCCGTAGAGTAACTCAAAGAAAACCAGGAGTGCTAGAGTTGGGTACCAATGATGCTATTCTTGCTCAGAACAAACTTCTATCATAACAAATGGAGCTTTTAACTCAACAAATGTCGAAGCTTCCACAACAAATCAAAGAAATGCAAGAAGTTCCTACCAAAGCTCAAATGGAAAGTTGCGAATTGTGTAAAGGCGACCATCCTACTGAGTATTGTACTCCGGTAGTGGAAGAGGTTAACTATGCTGGAAATCAAAATCAGGGATACCAACCTAGGCCACCTTACCAACAAGAAAATCAAGGGTATCAAAGACCAAATAATGGGTATCGACAACCTTGGAGGCCGCAAGAAGCCGAAACTTCAAATCGTCAACAATACCAAAACTACACTCAACCTCCACAAACTCAAAGTGCAACATCAAAGATGGAAGAAATTCTTACTCAATTTATGCAAATGTCAATGTCAAATCAAAAGAACACCGACGCGGCTATAAACAATTTGGAGACACAAGTGGGTCAATTATCAAAACAATTGGCTGACCAACAAAAAGGACCATTTACGGCTACCGCTCTCCCAAGAAGTGGTAGAGAGATTGACATGGTGTAGGTGAGGAGGTAGTAGAGGAAGAGGTTGTAGTTGAAAAAGAAAAAGAAAATGTTGAGAAAGAAGTAGAAAAGAATGTTGAGGGAGAATTAGTTGAAAAAGAAAGAGTGAAAAAGGGTGAGGAAGAAGAGAAAAATAAGAGAGAAGAAAAAGTGAAAAAATATAAGAAAGGAAAATAATAAGTGAGCACTATTCCGATTCAAAATTTTCCATATCCGCATGCTCCATCTAGAAAAGATTGTGCGAGGCACTATGCTCGATTCATGGACATATTCAAGAAATTGCAAATCAACATTCCAGTTTTCGAAGTATTGGAACAAATGCCCAAGTATGCGAAATTCATGAAGGATATTCTTACAAATAAGAAGAGGTATACGGATTAAGAAACTATCGTGGTGGATGCTAGTTGTAGCGCAATCATTCAATGTACTCTCCCGAGGAAAGAAAGTGATCTGGGACGAGTCACTTTGTCGGTTACAATAGGAAACATTTATGTTGGCAATGGATTGATCGATTTATTCTCTAGTATCAATTTGATACCCTTGTCTATTGTGAAATGGTTGGGATACATGGAGTTGAAGTCCACTCAAATGACATTGCAACTTGTCGACAAATCTACCACTCGCCCTCATGGTGTAGCAGAAGACATGTTGGTGAAGGTTGATAAATTTTTGTTCCCGATTGACTTTGTGGTGATTGATATGGAGGAAGATGAAGACTATCCCTTGATTCTTGGGCGACCTTTCATAAAGATCGCGCGCATGGAAATTGATATAGATGATGGTCTAATGAAAGTTAAAGTTCAAGATGAGGAGATATGTTTCAATCTTTTTGAAGCCATGAATCATTTGAAGGATAAGACTGATTATTTTAGAATCGATGCAATAAAAAGGGTGATCGAAGAAGTTAAAGAGTTGTTACAAGTTTTTACACCATTACAACAAGTTCTTACCAATGCTTTTTCAAATGTCAATGAGAAGGAAGAAAAAGAGATTAAGAAATGCTTGCGGGAACATGAAGAGTTAGAAGAAATTCCCCCTTTGAATGAAATGGTGGAAATTTTGAAAAAGGAAAACAAATGAGGAAGTTAAACTTGAGTTAAAAGTGTTACCCTCTCATCTCAAGTATGTCTTTCTTGATGAGGAAGGAAACAAGCCGGTGATCATTAGTGCAGAGCTAACTAAGAAGGAAGAGACAAAGGTAGTTGGTGTTTTGAAGAAAAATCAAGAGGCAATGGGTTGGACTCTTTCCGACTTGAAAGGCATAAGTCCATCCTATTGTATGCACCGAATATTCATGTAGGAAGATTTCAAGCCGGTGGCTCAACCACAAAGAAGATTGAATCCTACAATGAAAGAATTTGTGAGGAAAGAAGTGGTAAAAATGTTAGACGCCGGAATGATTTATCCTATCTCTGATAGTCTGTGGGTTAGTCTAGTACAAGTGGTGCCGAAGAAGGGAGAAATGACGGTTATCCGTAATGAGAAGAATGAGTTGATTCCAACAAAAACTGTAATGGGGTGGAGGATGTGTATCGACTACCGTAGGTTCAATCAAGCTAC